TATCTCACAGGCTTTCAATAGATTCAGCCCCTTTACTTTAGCTGCCAGTTAGTTGAGAGTGCAGTCAGTGCAGATGTTATAGTTCTTGGTTTTTAGGTCCGTTTTGTAGCAGATTTAATCTGTTTTCACAGAAATTCTACAATTCTATGGCATAATATTTTTATTTTATATAGTATAAGTAGTCAGATACAGGTTATAAGTCAACTTTGACTACATATGTAGGCCCTCGTTACTGCATTTTATCTTTGTAGGGCAGCACACACATTAACACATATCCATCATCCCTTCAACACAGACATTTGATCATTAATTGTATCATTTTTAACATGTAATGGTTGTATTACCACTTTGTCTTGTCAGTAACATGATAGAGTTCACATTTCTTTGTTCTTAAGGCGACATATCTTATATGTGCATCCTCACTTTAAAACTTCATATTGCTGAATAATCAAAATTAAGATCAAATTAAAAGCAGGACTGGTCTAATCCAGTGGTTCACAACCTTTTTCCTTAAGGGCCCCCTTTTCTATAATTTATTAAACTAAGTACCACTGCCTAAATTTCATATTTTATGATTATTTAATATTATATTCAAAACTGTACAATGAACCCAAATAGTTTATACTCAGTAACTGCAAGACGTTTGTGTAAAAGACTGATTTGGATGAATTTTGGGCATTATTTCCTGTTTAGGGAACTTTTTAGACGATTCTGTCTGTATTTTTTATTATTTTCAACAATCGTGCAGAATTATAAAACTTCTTGGTCGTTGTTCTATTACACAATTCCCTTTACATTTACATTTCTTCACACAAATTAGGTGACCTTTGTCCAACCAGGTGTCAAATCAAAAAGTCAGTTAGAGAACAGGAGTGTTATTGTCTCTTCTTATCATATACATATATACTGTCCATGCTTCTTATACTAGTAATAGTGCATCACAGGATAACTAAACTCCTGTGCTTAAAAACATATCAGACTTTGTTAAAGTTGCTCAAGTTGCTCACACAATTTTAAAGAATAGAAATAATAATTATATTACAATACATACAGAAATAGAAAAGTAGATAGATAGATAGATAGATAGATAGATAGATAGATAGATAGATAGATAGATAGATAGATAGATAGATAGATAAAAATACTTTATTTATCCCCGAGGGAAATTATAATTTTATAGCAGCTGATTAAGAGTCAATTATTATTAGAAAGTCTTATTGCAGTGGAGAGGAATGATTTTCTCTATCGTTCCTTAGAGCAGCACGGATGAATGAGTCTGTTGCTGAAGCTGCTCTTTAGCTTGTCCAGTGCTGTGTGGAGGGGGTGGGGGGGATTGCCCATGATTGACAGCAGTTTTGCCAGCATCCTCTCCTCCACCACCTGTTAGCGTCCTTTGCCTTGATGCCCGCCTCCCAGGACACCGCAGCAAAGAAGATGGTGCTCACCACAACAGACTGATAAAACATATGCAACATCCTGTTGCATACATTGAAGGACCTAAACCTCCTCAAGAAAAAAAAGCGGGCCCAGCCCTTTTTTTGAAAGGGCTTTTAATAAAAAAGAAATCCAGTTTGTTGTCCAGTGTGACACCCAGGTACTTGTAGTTTGTTACTATGTCCACATCTGTCCCACTGATGCTGATAGGAGAGGGCAGGGAATTGTTCCTCCTGGGGCCACTCCCACCTGTTTGCTTTGCAAGTCGTTCTCCCCCCCCCCCTCCCAAAGATCGACCAGGTCCCTGTACTCAGGCTCCCTTCTGCCCTCCAGACACCCCACATTAGCCGTGTCATCAGAGAATTTCTGCAGATGAAATGACCCAGTGCAGTACTTAAAGTCTGGTGAGGGGAGCACCCGGCCTGTAGTCCTCCAGTGTCACAGGACGTCCTTTTTTGGGCACTGGGACCAGGCAGGATGTTTTCCAAAGCACTGGCACTCTCTGAAGGTGTAGACTCAGGTTGAAGAGGTGCTGGAAAACTCCACAGAGCTGGCTGGAACATGCCTTCAGTACTCGAGGGCTGATGCGGTCCGGACCAGCAGCTTTCCTCTGTTTGAGCCTCTCCAGCTCTCCCCTCACTTGGCTGACCGTGATATGAAGTCCAGTCTGGGAGGTGGAGGATGTTGCAGGCTCTGTAGTGGGTGTCAGGAGTTTTTCAACAGGTTTAGCTCACCTCCTGCTACCCCTCCGTCACCTCCAGACCCCCATACACTCACACTGTCCCAAATGGCTCGACCCTCCCACCAGCATTCTCCTGTACAACACCTCTCCATCTGCCCCCCTACTTTCCACCCACCCCCCTCCTCCTCCTCCACTGATGACATCTGCACCAACCCCCGCCCAACGGTGACTACAGGTTAGGTAAAGAGGCAGCTGGAAAGACTGCATCAGCAAAAGGCTGCAGGCCCCGATGGCATCTCACCCAGGATCCTGAAGACCTGTGCCAGGCAGCTGTCTCCTGTACTGGGACATCTGTACAACCTGAGCCTGAGTCAGGAGAAAGCACCGTCCAGCAGATGTTAAAGAACTCCTGCTTGGTCCCAGTCCCCAAGAAGTAGAGGCCATCTGACCCGGCAGACTACAGACCAGTCGCCCTAACATCACATGTGATGAAGGTCCTGGAGAGACTGGTCTTAGCCCAGCTGAGGCCACAGGTGAGGACGTTTCTGGACCCTTTGCAATTTGCCTATCAGCCCCATTTAGGGAGTGGATGATGCTGTCATCCACCTGCTGCAACGAGCCCATATGCATCTGGATGGTGGGGGAGGCACTGTGAGGATCACATTCTTTGATTTCTCCAGTGCTTTCAACACCATTCAGCCTCTGCTAATGGATGAGAAGCTGCAGGTGGTGGGTGTTGACGACACTATGATCTCCTGGATTACTGACTACTTGACAGGCCGGCCACAGTTTGTCTGTCTGGGCAGTGTCCTGTCTGACGTGATGGTTAGTGATACAGGAGCTCCACAGGGAACTGTGCTTTCTCCCTTCCTCTTCACCTTACACACCACTGACTTTCAGTACAACTCTGAGTCATGTCACCTGCAGAAGTTGTCTCATGACTCAGCTGTTGTCGGGTGTATAAGGGAGGGAGATGAGGGTGAGTACAGGACACTGGTAGACAACTTTGTAGAGTGGTCCGAACAGAATCACCTGAGGCTGAATGTCAACAAGACCAGAGAGATGGTGATCGACTTCGGTAGGAAGAAGAGGATGCCTACACAGCCACTACGGATCAGTGGGGAGGTGGTGGAGGAGGTGGAGGACTACAAATACTTGATAGTGGTGATCGACAACAAACTGGACTGAAAATCTAACACTGAGGCTGTGTACAAGAAGGGGATGAGCAGACTCTATTTCCTGAGGAAGCTGAGATCCTTCAACGTGTGCAGCAAGATGTTGGAGATCTTCTACCAGTCTTTTGTTGCCAGCGCCATTTTCTTTGCTGCTGTGTGTTGGGGCAGCAGCAGTGCAAACTGGCCATCAGGAGCACCGGGACATTTCCCAGTGGCCTGGCCGCTGAACTGGCCCGCTCGGCGATTGCCGATGGTCGGGACCAAAGGCTCGGTTCGGGTCGTGCTTGGTTTTAAAATTAACAATCCGTCGTGCGGCTGTAAAATAACTGACATGTTTGTCAGTAAGGGAGCAGGTCAGACATTTAACACTAGTGGAGACAACAGACGCACAACCAGAGCCTATCCAGCACCACCAGCTTAATGAGGAGGTTAGTTCCACTTTGTGGAAGCTGATGGGGCTAAAACTGACTTAATAAAACAAATGTTTTAAGTTGTAACAAAGGATATTGCAGGTTTAGAATATGGTTACAAACATAGACACAACGTAATAAATTATATGAATATTGAAATCCTTGTATTATATGATTTAATTTAACCTTTATTTAACCCGGTAAAATCCCATTGGGATTAAAAACACATTTGTTGTTATATGAACATAACCAATGCATATAAAAATAGTGAACAGAAACATTTCTTTTGTAGGGGAAAGAAACAGAAAAAGCTGTGTGTGGGCGCATGTGGAGCCTTTGCTTTATTATTTTACACTCTCACATCAGTAGGCGCCCAACCTAACTCACTCTTGGTGTTTTGCGTTAATCGGGTGGTGGTGGTCTGGGATGGTATCAAACTCCCGGCCTGAATTATTGTCCCAGTCCGCCCCTGGGCTCAGAGGAGCATTAGGGGGGCTGCCAGGGGTGGGAGAGCTGAAGTTAGACCTGTTGAAGAATTGGTTCAACTCATTGTTGATTCCCCTCAGCTGCACCCAAACCTCTCTCATCCACTCCATACGTAAGAAAGTAAGAAAGTAAGTAACTGTTAAAAATAGCCAAAAACACACTGAAGACACACTAAAACTACAACAATTATAGGAGCTGCCATAACAGGCTGCCGTTCTAACAAAAAAATATTAACATATATATATATATATATATATATAGCTATATAGCCTACATATAAGTAAAAAATAAAAATAGAATATAATAAGTATGTACTTTATAATACAATATATGACAATATATAGACAGAAGTAAATTATATGAGCAGTGAGTTTTAAAGATTGCAGTATTACTGAAGTTACATATAATAACGGACTAAACAGTGTATTACACAGTGACCCGAGTATTGCACCTTAATCAGATATAACTGATGAACCTGGTTACTATCTCTGATTTCTTACAGCATGTTTTTATTTCTTAAATGTGCGCCTTAAATTGTACTTTCATTTTCCATTTCAGAAAATGATTCCCAAACTTGTATCTGCGCGCTCCCGCGAGGTAAACGCAAACTGCGCATGCGCCCAGCCCTGAGACTGTACAAAACACAGTAACAGAAAAAGACTCAAATTAGTTCTTTCTTTCTTTTTGGTGTTGTGTTTCCTGTTAGATTCGATGACCCATTTCAAGACAAACGATCGCTTGCGTTACTCTTAAATATTTAAGACAAAGTATCATTTTATTAATGAAACACACAAAGCTCCACCCATTTCCTGTCACTCTTGGCAGATCCGCGAAGCAGAAGTTTTTCTGTTCTGAAATACTGAAAGAGAAACTGAAAATCTTCACTCTAAATCCCACAACCACAGAGGGAGGACGTCTATCCTGCAGGAGGGAATACACTTCAACCTTCCACTGACTTCAACCTCAACGTGAGTTTTCATACACAACTCAGGTGTCAAATAACTGTACATAGAAGAGTTTGAATTCCTTTTCACTGTCTGTTGTGTTTCCAGCAGCACCCAGAGAGAAAATGTCCTCTGGATTAGAAGAGGATCTCTCCTGTCCTGTGTGTCGGGACATCTTTAGAGACCCTGTTGTTCTGTCATGTAGCCACAGCTTCTGTAGAGACTGTCTGAAGAGATGGTGGAGAACTAAGCAAGTACAGGAGTGTCCGGTTTGTAAGAGTGCATCCCAAGGAAAAAACCCACCCCGCAACCTGGTGTTAAAGAACCTGTGTGAGGCCTTCTTACTGGAGAGAGAACAGAGAGCTTCAGCAGGGTCTGAGGCTCTCTGCAGTCTGCACTCTGAGAAACTCAAACTCTTCTGTCTGGACCATCAGCAGCCAGTTTGTGTCATCTGCAGAGATTCAAAGACACACAACAACCACAGATTCAGACCCATCGATGAAGCTGCACAGGATCACAGAGAGGAGCTCCAGAAAGTCCTGAAGCCCTTTAAAGAGAAACTGAAGATCTTTGAACAAGTTAAAGGGAACTGTGATCAAACAGCAGAACACATTAAGGTCCAGGCCGAACACACAGAGAGGCAGATTAAGAAGCAGTTTAAGAAGCTTCATCAGTTACTACAAAAGGAAGAGGAGGCCAGGATCACTGCTCTGAGGAAGGAAGAGGAGCAGAAGAGTAAGATGATGAAGGAGAAGATTGAGGCTCTGAGCAGAGAGATAGCAGCTCTTTCATACACAATCAGAGCCGCAGAGGAGGAGCTGAGAGCTGAAGACGTCTCATTCCTGCAGAACTACAAGGCTGCAATGAAAAGAGCCCAGCAGCGCCTCCTGCTGGAGGATCCACAGCTGGTCTCAGGAGCTCTGATAGATGTGGCCAAACACCTGGGCAACTTGACCTACAACATCTGGAACAAGATGAAGGACATGGTCTCCTACACTGCTGTGATTCTGGATCCAAACACTGCCAACCCAAAACTCATCCTGTCTGAAGATCTGACCAGTGTGAGCCGTGGAGAGAGACAGAAGCTTCCTGACAATCCAGAACGGTTTGACCCTCAGAACCTGGTCCTGGGCTCTGAGGGCTTTGACTCAGGGACTCACAGCTGGGAGGTTGAGGTCGGAAACAATCCATTCTGGTTTGTGGGTGTTGCCACAGAGTCCCGCCAAAGGAAGGGGAACACAGACCTAAAGTCTGGGTTATGGTCACTCATGTTTCGCGGAGGTAAATATATAAAATCCTCCCCACTACAACCAGCCACTGCTTTTCCAGTGATGCAGAAGATCCAGAGGATCAGAGTTCATCTGGACTGGAACAAAGGAACTCTGTTGTTCTATGATCTTAACACTGAAACAAACATACACACCTTCACACACACTTTCACTGAGAAGTTGTTTCCAGTCTTTTTCACTGGGAACAAAGTCCCACTGAAGATATTACCAGTGGACTGCGAAGATAATGGTGATGATGACAGTGATGGTGATGTTGTTAATGATGACAGTGATGGTGATGTTGTTAATGATGACAGTGATGGTGATGTTGTTAATGATGACAGTGATGGTGATGTTGTTAATGATGACAGTGATGGTAGTGTTGCTCATACTTTCAGGGACAGTGATGATGAAGATGACAGTCTGGATTCTGATGATGAATTTTAAAAAAACAAAGTGACCTTAAAATAATTTCAGGGTTTTTCTATGTCCCATAAAGTGTTGTAAATGACCAGCAAATGTGTGATCTTATGAGCTTATTATGGTGTAGTGAGAACATTTGATTACAGGAGAAGAAGAAAAGACATCCTTATAGCACTTTGTTCCCACCAAAATAAGAGTCTGTCTCACCATAAACAGAGACAGAGGGATGAACGACATCACTGGGCTGAGGGTTTTTATTGGTTTATCCTGTGTGCTTTCTACTGTAGCATGTTTTCTCATTTACAGCAGCTATATAAACTATTGTTGAAGCCAGATGAGTTAACAAAAAAAAAAAAAGAAAAAGAAAAATGATCGTCCTGTAGAGAATTCATCCTGTTTTGTATGGAATTCATCTTCATCCTTCTGAAACCAGCACACAAGCAGATTTATTATAGTTTTGTATTTTTATTTTGGTTTTAATTTTTGTTTTAATTTCAGTTTAGTCAAAAATGTTTATTTTTTTTAGTTGTTGTTTTCTTACTGTGCATGTTTGTTTCTAGCAGGATCAATGCCTGATTGCTCACTTCTTTATGAAAACACATTGTTCTATGGCACATCATAAAAGGCAATTGTATTTCTCACTGTTATAATTGTTGTATATTCCTGCAAAAGTTAAGTTTTTATTAGAAGTTTTTTTTTTAAATAATAATATGGGGGGGGGATTTGTCAGGGGTAAGATTTAGTACAGCAAAGGTATCACAATACAAACACAGTGACTGATGTTGGCAGTCTCAATAAACATTTGCACCGTTGCCTCCTCGTGCTTGTTGATGTTTACAAATTTGACCAAAAACCTGAAGACATTTCTCGTATGTTTTTATGTTTTATTTTCTTAATAAAAAACATTGTTTCAATTATGATTTTGTTTCTTTCTAAAGTCTTTTGTTGGAGTTAACACATAGTTTTAGTTTTTGAACACAACAAATGTTTCTGCTGACTAAAAACCGGCAAAAATCGTCTGATGTTATTTTAAGTAGGGAAGGAATTTAGCATTAAACAACATTACTTATCTACCTAAACCAGCCACATGTGAGTCCATAATACTGTCATAGACGGCAATATTTCCCCCGGTAATACAACTTTTTCGGTCCAGAGAGAGTTGAGGAGAAATGACACAAAGCCTAAAAGATTCGGGGATTTTGAGAAAAACCATTCAGGGCTGAACCCCCCCGGAAGGCCCCAAAACTCCCAGAAGCCCCTAGTTGTAGTTGCAAAAACGAGCTAGCAGATATTTTAAATCAAATCACCGCCTGAACCAGATCCCAGTTTAAAGGTCAACCATGAACATTTATTAGTATATGATGTTTTATTATTCTTATATCATTCTGCATGGACACTTGGTCTCCATGGAAACCAGGCTGGTGTGTGTGTGTGTGTGATGAGTGGATGGTGTTCCCGTGATTCAGCAAAACACACACACACACACACACACACGCCATATACCGCTGTGGCATGCTGGTTGCCATGGTAATCAGGCTGGTAGGAAGGCTGCCGGCGCTGTGACTCAGCTTGTTGCCGGGTGAATCAGTAAAATACACAAAGTGTGTTTACTCTCGGGTGTTTATTATCTGCTGGTTGCTGTACGCGAGACGGGCTGAATGTGAAGAGTCTGGATGTTTGATAGGGTGGAATTACAACAGTATGTATCCTGTATCATAGTATCTGTGGTGAGTCATGGGATAATGGTTTCCTGATGCTCCCCACGGATTCTGTCGGTGGGTTTAACAGTTTGAGGCTGAAAACATAAACAGCCCTTTTTGTTGTAGATGCCCCAAATTTGGCCCCAAAATAGTTTTTTCCCCCTAGATGATTTGGGGAAGTAATTTTTTGGACTGTGTGTTACTGAAGAGTGTTTAAATTACAGCACAGAGGAGTGATGCCAAACAGATAGTGGTACGGATGGATTAAAGGTGCACTGTGTAACATTTAGGCTCTATAGGCAGACATGGGAAATAATATTCATAGGTATGTAAGAGTATAATCATATAAAAATAATAAGAGTTGTTTTTTTTTTTTTACCTTAGAATGAGCTGTTGTTTTTTATTCACAGAGGGAGCGGGGTCCTCTACCATGGAGGCCACCATTTTGAGCCACCATGTTTCTACAGTAGCCCAGAGCAAACAAACAAACAAACACTGGCTCTAGATAGGATAGATAGATTCAAGTTTCTCTTGAGTTTAATGGCCTTTAGATGCCTAAATCCTACATACTGGACCTTTTAAATAGTCAATATATGATAAAGATGAAGTTACGGAATCAAATAAAGAAACAAATCATACAAATGGGGAGAATGGCCGACACATTCAGACAATCAAAGGCATTTATGTTTGCACCTTTTTCTTCACATCAACAACATGTAACTCTCAGTAATCAATCTCTATTTATAAATTGTCCATTATAACATTTAAGGAAAATAAAAAAACTCATCATTGTCAAACCCACAGCCTGTTGTGGGCTACCAGTTTAATTTAATGTATTGATATATTCCAGTTTATACAGACTGATCTATCTCTACTGTTAATCTATACATCTATATGTGCCGTTTCCTGCCTTTTATTTTATGGTGTATTAAATAGTTTTGTTTGATATTCGTATATTTTGTGTCCACTGTTGTCTCCGCCCAGTAAAGTGTCCTCCGTTTTGGGAATAATCTCTCACTTTGGTCTCTGTAGCTCCGCCCCGCCGGACCGCCGCACACAACAAACCTCCACCATCCACAAACACGCTGCAGCGGCAAGTCAGGCGAACTCAGCGTCGACCGGAAACACACTCACCTTCAGAATAAAAGCCGTAAACGAGCAACACTGAAATAGGGGGGTAGTTTTTGGTTTATTATCAATTTGTCAACCATAAAAACAAGGTTGACAGGTGTTTTAAATGCTACATTAAAACTAAACTATTATTTCAGCTGACAAAAATAAGGTTTGTGCACCTAAACAGTGTAAGATACACAAAATACAAGATATTTTATTTTTAGATTTTATTGTTTGGTGAGATGCTACTCAGGAAAAAAACAAACCAATAGACCAAGTATAATAGCAATACTATAAAAATAAGGAAAACTGAACCTCTGTTGACCGTAAAATTCACAAAAATACCATAATGTTTTTTCTGGACATGGCAACTGGATCTGATGGCAAACAGACATTGAACTCAGAACTTGATCATTTATACTGTAGCCATCTGGACATGAATATAGAGTCATGATTCAATATATTTTAATTTTAAAGCTTTAAAGCTGTATTGTTTTTCTTTAGACATGACATCCCACCACACCACGGCCTGTAGCTGTCAGTGAATGTAGACGCACACAACAGATGTAGGACAGAAATATAGTTAAACATTGCATATTGGTGCACAGTCTTCAGAGTTCCCGCAGGCCTTGTGTTCCTACAATGTGTGTGTGTGTGTGTGTGTGTGTGTGTGTGTGTGTTTGAGCCATACTTTGAGTTCGGTTCTTTGTACACGACCTGGTTTTTGTGAATGTAGGTTGTATCGACTCATGTGGCTCTGCTCTTATTTATAGCTGGCCGTATTATATTAATTTCCTTTCCCTGTAACATTATAACAGCATTTCCCCAGAGAAGTCCACGTGTTGTGTGTTTTTATTGTCTTTATCCATCCTGTTCATGTTATCCTGTTATCCTGTTATCCTGTTCATGGTTGCCTGATTATTAGTGAGTCACCTGCAGAGAATGCAGAGGGGGAAGAAGGAATCAGAGATTTTATAAAGTAAAAGTCGGAATATTCTGGTACAAGAAAAAGTCCTGTGTTCAAAGTTTTACTTCAGTAAAAAGTACAAAACTATAAGCATTAAAATATACTTAACCTAACAAAAAGTAATCAATATGCAGAATGGCCAACATCAGAAAAATGTACATTATATTATTGATTTAGAATTGTTGTGAACATCACTTTAATGTTACAGCTGGTAAAGGTGGAGCTAATATTTTACTATACACAGGACTAGCTTGTGAGTCTTATCTTTATCCACAATAATTCATAACTTATTTGCTAATTCTATTTTGTATGATTAATTAATCTGTGAAGTAATAATGAAAGATATCAAATAACTGTAGTGGAGTAGAAATAGCAGAAAATACTGGAAATAATAAAGTATAAATACCACAAAACTGTACTTAAGCGCAGTACTGGAGTAAATGTACCACCGCTGCCTGTATGAAAGGACCTACACACATTTTCATTGATGGATTAAATGGTTTTAGGAAGTCTGCAACCATTACAGTTTAAATAAACAGGACAACAAGCTCATATAACAAAATAGACATAAAGATAGATAAGATAATTCCTTTATTTATCCCCTAAGGAGAAATTCATTTTGACACAGCAGCAATAGGGCAAAGCAGCGCAAAAACAGAAAACAAAGAATATCACTAAAAATATTGCTAATATTATTAATATTAGAAGATATAAAAACTATAAATTAAAGCATATACACTATTTGTTGTTCAAGTAGGACATGGAGTCCAAAATATGAGCAGAAAATTAAACTGGACTAAAACTAAACATATATAAAGAAACTAAAAACATTTGTAGACAGTAGATAACAAGTGCAAAGGATGCTGAAATAAATATTTACATCCAAACTTTTTAAATCCAGATCAAAAACTCTGCTATTATTAAGCACTTAGTAGTTTTACCTTATTGTTAATGTGCTTTTACTATTTATTTATTTATTTATTCTTATTCTTTATCTGTTTATGTTTTTTTTAATTCTTATTATCTTTGAGCTGTCTTGTTTTTGTATTTTTATTTTTTTAAACTTACACTGCGCTACAAGCACCTTAAATCTTTATCAACAAAACTGGCCTCGCCTCGTGTGCTTTTATTGTGAAACTCCGAACGGGACGTGGGGGTTTGTCCATTAACGGCCGTTGACGCGCCGTTCGGGGATACACTCATTCACTTCAGGCTGGGACTCCCGTTGGAGTAACCGGAGGAGAGGAGCGACAAAAAAAAAAAACAAACGACGGACTCTCTCGTGAAAAACTCGCAGGAAAACAACGTGAAACCGAGTCGGATGCAGACCGGAGGAAACAGCGAGCGGTGCGGAGGGGGGTTGAAGAGCCGTATCGATTCATTTTAAAACGGAACTGATTGATCGCTGGCGTGTGCGGTGTGTGTGTTTTCGTTTTGGAAAAAGCCACACACACACACACACACACACACACACACAGTCACAGGTTGCTAGCGGAGTTAACGCTAACCTAGCTAGCCAAGTTAGCTATCTGCGGTTAGCTGTGTGTATATATATATGTGTGTGTGTGTGTGTTTTACTTGGAGGACTTGAAGCAGCCCGGGAAGGAAAGTTAGAAAAGGCGGTGAGGCTCTTTTTTTATTCCCCCCCTCAGACTGCCTGCTCCATGGTTCAGTCATGATGTGGTGTTTTTTCGGACGTTTATCAAGTTGGCCGGCTGTTAGCATCGGCTGACTGAAAGCCTCGTCTCGACCTGTGTGTGTGTTTGTTTGTGTGTGTGTTTGTGTTTGTGTGTTTTTTTTTTTATTTAAAAGGTGGACTTTGCTCTCAGGGTGTTGTAACTCTGCCCCTATATTAAATATATCTTTAAAAGAGCCTCCATTGATTCTTCTGTTCGGAGTATTGCAAAACTTGGCTGGAAGTTTTTTTTTTTTCTAGCTTTTTTTTTTGGGAGGTAAAAAAAAAAAGTTGGGAAGTTGAGGAGGATTTTTCCGAGCCTGTGGAAAAATGGATGCGGGTATAGAGAAGGAATGCAGCGCCTTGGGAGGGCTCTTCCAGCTCATCATGAACGACATGAAGGTAAAAGAAAATATGTTTTAATTAACTTTTCTATTCCCTCCAAACCATCTCAGCATATTTGTACAATTATGTTCTTTGATGTTTTTCCCATTTTATCTTTAAAAGTTAGTGTGCAGTGCAGTTTTCTTTACATTTATTTCGTGTTATTCTTCCCATTTCTGTCTTATTTTTGCTCGTAGCATAATGTAATTATTTTTTTTAGCTTTCCCCTATAAAAGAAAGATACTTTAAATGCTTAGTGTTGTCAGGGTATCTGTTTTTAAATGAGAAATTAGGGCTGCACAATTAATTATCACAATATGCAAATGACAAGAAGCTGCAATCTTTTTAAATAAACGTAAACTATGTGACAAACAGCATTATATTTAAGGACTGTAGAGCTGAAGAGACGTCCAGGTCTACAAATCTTGGTTTGTTTGGTACAGAGCCATAAAAAAATGTCACATAATCATGATTTTAATATTTATTTTAGGTGGAAATTAAACTGTCGATGCAGAAATGATCATTCCCTTTAATCTTGTATCATATTACAGTCAGAATATCTGTCGAGATGATCACAAATTCGTGTTTTTCCCATATTGTGCAGCCCTATTAAAAGTAGATTAAAGTGAATAGGTTTGTGTGAGGGGTGGAGGCCTCAGTCGACTGCTTCATTCATTGTAAAGGGACATTTTTTCCTGCACTGCTTCACTTAATACTCACACTTCCTTAAATATAATAACCATATTTACTTCTCTTCCTTTTATATAAGGCGGTGATAATCTCCTGCCTCTTTGGACTGGCTGAGTCATACAGCTCCGAAAAGGGCTTAAAATAAAGCTGTAATAAAGTGAAATGAACAAGTGAGCTTGAGATTCTTATGAAGCTTGAAATATAGGTTATTATGGACTGGATTTAGAATGAGTGGAGAGGAGTTCTGGTGATGTTGATTGGGTAATGAATGAGCTGAGGTTAAAACTGGAAGTGGGCCATCTGAGAGGGTAACAGAGCTGGATGGGGGTGGATTTTACCAGCTGTGTGCTCTTTGATGTTTGTTAAGCAGGCTGCCCTTTGCTGCCTGTCTGTCTGTTTTTCTGTCTGTCTGTGATTCACTGCTCTCAGATGTTCATCGTTAGCAGTCTGTATTTTCCAGTCGGCCCTGAACGCACCTTTTTGTTTTGTCCTAAATCACCAGAAAAAGGCTCCGGTGTTAGCGGGATTGTTGCTCCGACGTTTTCCCAGAGCATGTACCGATACTTTAACATTACCGGTTTCTTAGCTTTTCACGAATATATTGGGCTCTGTGCATACATTGATCTATCAGTAACAAGGAATTACACAGTTACTGGTAAACAAAGGGTGAATTAAAGGTCCAGTGTGTAACATTTGGGACGATCTATTGGCAGAAATGGAATATTATATTTATAGGTATGCTTTCATTAGAGTATAATCACCTGGAAATAAGAATTGTAGCGTTAATGTTAATTGATGAGTTGAGTCTATTTATTGATTCGTTGTTAATATTAAAGCAAAAATGCCAACATTTGATGGTCCCAGTGTCTCTGATGCAGTCTTACATTATAGAAAACTGAATATTTTTGGGATATTAGACTGTGGGTCGAACCATCAAAGCAGTTTTAATAGTTTAGAGCTTTGAAATTCTTATGTTCCCTTTTCAGTATTTACCAAACGAATAATTCATAACCTGGAAAATGATCAGCAGATTAATCAGTAATGAAAATAACCGTAGCAGCCCCAGTTGATATTAACAGTGAAAGGGAAGGTTCGGTTTATTGTTATCAGCCTTCGTCAGAATGTCAATATTGGTGTCTGTCTCAAATATCCACCGTCAGACACGTTGTAAAAATGAGTCCTTGTTGACCCGTCTGGAAAACTGCAGACTGAACGTTACAGTCAAGATAACACAGTAACGGACGCGTCAACACTCTGAAACTATGTGAAACTAATGTGGTGGTAGTTCACATTTCTACAGGCTGTCAAAGTAAAAGCTACGAGCAACGTCCTCAGTTATGTGCTTTTATTGTTGTACACATTAGGCCTCCTGTAAGAACATTTTAATATTATCCTAAACTACTCTTACTTTAAACTCTCTTAACTGGACAAACTCACTGTAAACCTTCCAGCCTGATGAGCGTCTCCTCTTCACGAGGAAGAGGCAGTTCGTGAGGTTTTCTCATCAGCATAATCAGCGTCAAGTTAGAAACCAGCAGACAAAAAGATATAAAGTTTAGTAGTGTCAGCAGTCGTATTAGAGGTCCACGAAACAAATTAAATATTAATAGTACAGCTGCCAGCGACGTGCCATCAGAGCAGCGCCGTACCCGTTACCATGACATAATGTTAGACATCGGTTTAAAGCAAATCGATCCATGACTAATAGGAGAGGCAGTCAGGTGACAATCCCTGAGGTATTAGATAATACATTATACAGCGTGTGATAAAGTACAGTCGCTGCCAATTAAATGTCTAAAATGAAAACGAAACTCTCGTGGCGGTGGCGATCCAACCACTCCTAACTTCTGTTCATACCTGAGTGCGTGCAGTTTAAGAACAAAATGTGTGTGTCAGAGCAGTTGTTGCACAAGGACCAGCATCCTATGTGGAAATGCGACTTACTGAAACCACAGATGACGATTGAGCCTTCAGACGTACAGAAATATTATTGTGTAAGAGTGGATCTTCAGATGACTCAGAATCCATAGCCCGCTGTGTGCTAACCCTGACTCCGCCTGTAGCTCCTCAACGGACACCGATTGGTCCGGTACCGTCGGGGTCTGGACTTTAAGCTCATAGCTAGAAGTGGCACGGTGGATTCTCGTGTGAGTTTGTGATCTCTAGCTGTATCGCTAAGGTTGCCAGCCCTCACGTTTACAGACCAAAACCTCCATTTACCTCCATATTGATTCTGTCAGACAGGAAAGATCGGCCTCCTTCTGTGAGTGACCGTACGTCACCTGAGAGGCTGCGGGGTCGATATGGATGAAATATTTGAGGAAAATGAGGCACAGTTATCGTCTCATTCTGAAGTTAAAACATTTTGGATGGGACTTGATGGAACTAGCAGACATCCTGTGGTGAGAATAGGGAGCAGTACACATGAGTCACTTCTGCTGTCAGATAACAGGGAACAGGGACAGTCATGGTGGATTGCGTGAGAGAGATTGTGGTATCATATCCTGATATTTTACCAACATGGCAAAGAACCAACGGGGGCACTCCTGCCATCTGCCCCACAGACACACACACACACACACACACACACACACGCACACACACGCGCACTCAGAAGTCATGTCTAATTAAATAGAGAGTTGCTGTTCAGATAAATCTCTCCTCAGGGCACCATAACACGCCTGTGAAGAGCTCGCACTCTGAATCAGTCGGTAGACGTGTACAGGGGCACGGAGGCTTGTTGCAGATTGCAGGTCATTTTGTGAATTAACCAAGCAGCCATTTAAAGCAAAGCAAGAAGATTTTTTAGTATTTTTGTGACATGAATTTCCACAAGAGCACAGATTGAACGGTGTCAAAGGACCAACTGTTGAAAATGGAGTATTGAGACCGAGTAGAAGGTGCTAAATTCTCTGTGACATTAGTAAGATCGAACTTTGTTTTATTTTGGCGCCATTCTTCCATTGTGTTTGTATTAATAAGGACACGACGTTTTAGTTCATTTGTAGAAAAGCATGTTAATACCGAGCAGACAATATCAATTTATTGTGTCGTATAAAAGTGGGGGTGAAACGTCATATTGACAATACTCTTCAGGAATTTGAAACAATACGCAGCCCTAATCAGAACAGAATATTCTTTAATACATAACAGATATGGAGTGTTCAATAAAACAGAAGATAGTTTTTGTTATGTGGTAGAAGTAAACAGTCTTTCTCCATTGCGATGCCCGATGAGAGAATGTATTTATTAATAAATGTTTTCTCCACATTGTCCATGGATGATTCATCTTCACAGCTGGTGTAGAAATACTAACTGGAGCTGAATAGGTTTTAAATTTGCACATATTCTACCAAAAAAGAAATTGAATTGAAATTATTATTTATATATATTATATATAACAATTAATTTCTCATTCGGTTAATAAACGTGAAGCTGGCGCTGACAGTTCAGTATTTTGGTGAGAAAACTTTGGCTTAGTGTGGACGAAAGGTCCAAATGGAGAGGAAAACCTTTTGAAATGTAGCTTATTTAAGGGCCGTCCGCACAGAGAACAATAACTGTAACAACAGTGCACACGGCTAAAGGCTGTTTGACACTGTGTCTCAGGTAAAACGACATTTATGTGTAATTTGCAGCCTAATATAACGTTGTATAAGCTTTAATAAGTTCTCCCAATCCCGGTGATATCGTTGTAGTTGTGGTGTCTGTGTGTGTGTGTTAATGTGTTAATTCTAATTATTGTTATACTGATTGTTCTTGTTGTGAATGGTTCTTTTAATGTGGACGCACAGTGAGAGCCGTATGTGTGTGTGTGGGCTTGTTTTACCCCACAGCATCTGTTAGGTTACATTCTAGGAACAGATCTATTTAGTTCTGTTTCTGCACAGTGTGACACTGTCTGTATAAGTAACTACAATGAGCAGAAAAAAAGGTTATTTAGTTAAGAAACCTAAACTGTATTACTAAGCTGTATTAGGGAGCAGACGTTCAGTTTCTACTCTGTCCTGAAGCTCCAATTGGATGCCTGCGCTCTACTTAATTGAAGCACATGGTACTGACAGCCCATATGCACAACAATGACAGCCTGGTCAACCACGTTTTAATCTTTTAGTCTTTCTGCATTATAGTGAAGGGAATCATCTATTGTGCATCATTCTGCAGAAGATATTAAAATGTTTGGCCTTATCGCTCAGCCTCATTACATCCCGTCCCAACTTCCTGTCTGATACAAGAAACACGTGACGGTTCGGAAGAGAAACGCCATCCTGAAGCAGCTTCGTGTGGGACCTTCAAGTTCTACTGGAGAGAGAGAGAGAGACAGACAG